TCGTGTATTTAATTCCCTTTTTACTTTTAAAAGTATTTAAATATAGCACGTATATTCATAAATCCAGTATTTGAAGTTTGCAGGAGTCTAATTTTGCTACTTATTGTTTGTCCTGACTCACTAAGGTGGGTATTTCCAAATGAGATTTGTAATTTTGGATTGTGGGTTCCTGTTGGCTGGGATTTATCTATAGAAAACCTGAAAACCACATTTGAGGGATTATTCTCTGCCAGATGCCTGGGGCCGATTAAAGTTGATTCTTAACTGTGTGAGACTACCCAAGTAGTGTGAATTTGAACCTTAGTTTCACTTGAGAGCAGAAGGTAGATTCTCAAAAGAGAGTTTTTTCTCTTTCAGAGGCCAACACTACAAAGGCAAGTGTTCTTTTTATTTTTCTTTCCTGATGGTGGATTTTTTTTTTCTGGTTCTATCTGTTAGCAGTGATAAAGAGACCTAGTTCTAACTGCTGATCTTTCTGAGTCCAGAGCCCCTGACTTCTGGTCCTTCAAGACAATGAAAACCATGGATCTAGTATCTAGGGAGCAGTAAATACGCTCAGGGCAGCCACTACTTTGGACAATGAGAAAAACTAAGAGAATAATTTGAAAAATAGATAAGAATACCTTAAATCAATCATGAATTATTAATATAAATAAGTGACCTACTTAAGAGGGAGAGAAGGAAAGAGAGAGAGAGAGAGTGTGTGTGTGTGCGTGCACGCATATTTGGGAAATACTTTTAATAAGAAGTTATTCCTTTCTTTCTTGTGGTAACAAGAATTACCTAGACAATACTTTTGTATTCACCCGATGACACTCAAAAGATTCAGAGACTTAAAAATATTGTTTTCAAGGTCAAATCAAATTGGAGGCAATGATTCTTTATTCCATTTATAAGACCTAGGTAACTTGTCTTGGTAAAGGTAGTACTAAAAATGCCTTTTCTTTTAGACAGGGAGTTAGAATACCATACAGAGCTCATTTTTGACTGTCAAAACCAAAATTATTTGCAAGCCATAGATACATACAACCTTGTAGGCTGACACCTCACTTAACTGTTAAATCACCTAAAAGATTATCTTGTCTTTCTTTTATGTGAATTCAGGAGCACAAAGCTATTTAAAATTCTTTCTCTAGAGAAATTCTATTAGGAGTATTATATTTCTTTGGCAGTCCTAAAAAGAACCAGCCCAATATTTTAACATCGTATTTTTTAAAGCTACTTTGGATTATTCTTTAAAAAGTTAGATTGAAACCCAAGAAACAGAATATGCACTGGGATACAGCGTGAATTTTACCAGGGTTCTTCTATAGCTCTAAGTGTTCTTTCAAATCTGTTTGGTATCTAGGAAACCACTCTGTATTAGCATAGCAATATTCAAATATACAAGAGACTAGTAGGTAAAAACACAAATAGATTGTACTTTCCCCTACTACTCCCTGCATATTTGAATATGCAGAACACAAATAATGCTTTTACATGTAAGTTTTAGAGTGTCCCAGAAGGACATAAGAGCAAAAGAGAAAAAAGATTGATTGTACCATTAAAAATAGTCTGTAGTCACAGTGCAGTCGTCGGGAGAGGAAATTACTGAAGCGTAGTTCAGGTAATTTTAAAAAACTGATGCTAATAGATGACAGAGGCTGAACACATTCTGACTTATAAAATGAAAGAAAATAATGGACAAAGGAAGACAATAGCAATAAAAACTACCACTTACTGGGTTCTAACTATACATCGGAACTATATTCAGTGCTTTACTTGAATTAAAAACAGTCTCAACTGCAAGAGAATCCACTTATCAAGTGTTTAATGTATGTCACTTTTATCTATAGAATAATTTTTTGAGTTAGGTATTGTTACTTGCCCAGTTGTGTAACTGAGGAAACTGACACAGAGTTTCATCAACTTGTGCAGATCATGTAAGCTTGAAAATGTTAAGTAAGATACAAAAGCCAAGACAGGCTGGCTCCAGAGTGTATGCTGTATAACAATCTTTCCATTTTATTTTCATCTAACTACTAACCTTCATTTCAGCCCAGTCAGGGCAGCAGTCCCTAATCTCCGGGCCACGGACTGGTACTGGTCTGTGGCCTATTAGGAAATGGGCCACACAGCAGGAGGTAAGCAGCAAGGGAAGCTTCATCTGTACTAACAGCCACTCCCCATTGCTCCCATTACTGCCTGAGCCCCACCTCCTACCAAATCAGCCGTGTCATTAAATTCTTACAGGAGTGTGAACCCTATTGTGAACTGCGCATGTGAGGGATCTAGGTTGCATGCTCCTTATGAGACTCTTATACCTGATGATCTGTCACTATCTCCCATCACCCCCAGAGGGGACCATCTAGTTACAGGAAGACAAGCTCAGGACTCCCACTGATTCTACATTATAGTGAGTTGTATAATTAATTCATTATATATTACAATGTAAAAATAATATAAATAAAATACACAATAAATGTAATGTGCTTGAATCATGCCAAAACCTTCCCCCACCCACCCTGGTCCATGAAAAAAAAAATGTCTTCCATGAAATCAGTCCCTACTGCCAAAAAGGATGGGGACTGCTAAGTTAGGGTATGTCTTCTCCCATTTTAAAGATTGGGAAATAGAGGTAGAAACTCTAAGTAACTTGCAAAAGATTACTTGTGAGTAATAGTATCAAGATCAAAACTGGTCTACTCTGTTTCCAGAACCTATATACTTTCCACTCTATTATTCTGCCTTTATGACAGTATTTTTTATTCTTCAGTTATTCATTCATTTGGTCATTCATTTAACAAATGTTTGTTGAGTACTCTGCGCAGTCTGTTCTGGGCTCTGGGGATACTCTTATGAACAAAAAAGGCAAAGTTCCAAAGATTGCATTCCAGTGGAGGGAAATAAAAAATAAACAAATAAACCCATAAATGTATATCAAGTGTTAGCAGGCTCAATAAAGAAAAATAAAGCACTGTAAGCAGCTAGAAAATAATAGGATAAAGGCTATATTTAAATTTTTCAGATAAGATGGTCAGTGCAAGGAAACGTGTAACTGTCACTGGTCTTTCAGGATGCTGTTACTTTCTATCACAAGTATCCTGGCTTACATGACGTTAAAACTCAATCTTGGTTTCATATCACTCTTCTGGTTTCTGGAAGAATATGCTTGATTTAAAACTCACCATGTCATTGCAGAAATAATTTTATGCTGGTTTTCCTCTGTAATTCTTGAATGGTTATTTGAAGACACAAAATTGGTAATTGTTTTCTTTCTGAGCATTTATCCAAAATACCCAGCTTAATAAGGTGAACAAACGTTTGGACTGATTTGGAGAGTATGCCTTGCCAACAATTAAGTAAAAGGATATTTTCTTTGTCATTAACATTTCATGTAGACTATTAGTTCTTAGAAGCAGTCTAATAATAAAAGCTGTAGTGATGTCAGGAACTAATTGACTGATTTTAATTGAAGAACACTTATATTACAGAGTATATGATGGTAAGATGTGTTCAACTTGTTTTTCACTTTTCTTTAAAAAGCTGAAAACTTTCTTCCCAATAGTAATTAAAAATAAACAGCAGTCATTAACTTACTGTGGGCTTCTAATAGCCACAATATTGCTTCCTTGCATGAATGATTTACTGATCTAAAGTAAAGTAATTCAACACTGAAATTATCTTGAAAATTAAAAACCATCCTAGGTAATGAGTAGTTTCAGTTTCTGTAGCACCAATTTATGTTTAGTTTTTTTTAATGTATTCTTCTGCACATATACAACTTGCTAACTAATAAAAATAGTCTCAAAGGGACACCACCTCAAAGAACAGTATGTATGCCAAGCTCAGTTTCTGAACTCTGCAGGCTTGGAGGTGATATTTATTCATTCCTTCATTCAGCCAACACTTACTGAGAAGCTTCTTTAGGCCAGGCATTTTCCTGAGCTTTTTAGGGGATAAAAGGAAAAAAATGCAGTCTCTGCCCCCAAAATAACTTCTTATTATGGGATTAGGATAATATTTTGTTGTAAGCCTGTCTCTTTCATTTAGTTGGTTGTATCATAATTTATTGAACCAATTCTGTGTTGTTGAATATTTAGGTAAGTTATTATTATTTTTTGCTATAAAAAGCCTTGTTTGAACACCCTTGTAGTGAATAAATGTGTCTGTATTTCTGATTTTATTTTTCAAATGAATTTCTACAAGTAGAATAACTAAGTCAAAAGACACAAACATTTTAGTATCTTAAAAATGTACCAAAAAGTTGCCTAAAATAGAAATACAGGGAAAAACATTATACTATTATACATTGCTACGAAAACTGTGTGAGATAGCCTTTTCTTAGTCCATTTCCTTGCCAGCATTAAGAATATAGAATGTTTTGCAACATGTGTATCATTGATCTTTAGTGTTCACAATTCTTAAAAAATTTTCATTTTTAGGAATACTTTAGTGCTGGTTAAAAATTTTCAACTGATATTGATAGTTTTTATCTAATAAGAAGTTATCCAGATTATGCTCTTTCCTTTATTTCTTATGCTGAAATTTAGGGTATTAAGAGGTTATGAAGTGTTGTCCATTGGTTTGAGAAGTTTGACTACAAAAAATGAAGATTGTAGTTGTGCGTGAGTCTGTTGGAAAAGTTGAATATTAACTTAAAAGTAAATGTTAAAAAACCGAGTTAGATCTGTATTTTTTTGGCGTTTATTGGATTTCATAAATACATATTTAGAATATTGTGAATTATATTAAATTAAACACATTATATTTAGTGTCAATACATTTTTTCTAAGCACAAAATTCTTACCTGTAGAAATATAAAAAGAAAAAAAATACTGTGAATAGATTCAAAGGGCTCTAACCACATCTTCCTTAAAAATGAAATTATTGGAGAAGCTTCATGGTTAACCTGTCTGTAACATCTATATAATATTTTTGCCATTCCTGAGTTTGTATGCTCAACAGTTTGATCTCTTTTCTATTCATATCTCAGTGGTTACACTGTTTATTATTTCCAGAACCATAGGACACAAAAACCGGTATGTCAAAGTCCCCCGTGGTCACATCTGGGTTGAAGGTGATCATCATGGACACAGTTTTGACAGTAATTCTTTTGGGCCGGTAAGTCATCTTTTATCTTCTTGTTGATATAATTGGATTTCAAAGGTGAGAACAAAAGTATGTCAGATAGGTTATTTGGGTAACTCAGCCAAGACTGATCATGAATTTTATAGTGGAATAGTTTACGTTTGAAAATTTCCTTTTAAGTATCATAGATAAAGTACACTATCAGTGTGTATGTAAGTATGTGTGTGCACATGTGTTTCTTAGAAAAAAAACTCACACACTTAAGAAAGTACCAAAAAATGCTTTTGGCCAACTACCTTATTCCAAATTGGAAGATATTTTTTTCTCCCACGGGAATACTTTGTGGCTTATATTTTCAGTTGATGTTTAGGTCTTGTACACATTATGTAGGCATCAGTTTTCTAAATCATTAGTTTAAAATGCAAGTGTAATGGAAATCATATTAGTAAATGTACAGGAAGCAAATTTTACCTCTACCCTCTTAGGGTCCCGGCGGGGCCTGAGAATTAAATTGACATAAGACAGAGTCATAGGAGAAAAGCCAGCAAATTTAAGATAAGTTTTAGGTGGCACAGGAGCCCTCATAAAGAAATGAAGACCCAACAGGTGGAAAAACGTACATACTTTTATGTTAGATTGAACAAAGAGACATAATTGTGGAAAAGTAACTGAATTATGTGGTGAGGCTAAAGGAAGATAATTATTTTAACACATTTTAACAAGGTCTTTTGGTACAGAACCCCCTCTGTGCCCCCTGCCATGACTTCCCATGAAATAATGTTTTTTTCTCCTGGTACAGGAAGGGCATCTTTCACATGAAAAATTGTGTCTCCTGCTTTCAGGAAGAAAAGGAAAAGATTAGAATGCCCTTCTTGCATCTGCTGTTTGTCAAGTGCCTTTAGCTTAAGTTATCCTCATGTCAAAGTGGCATATTTTGGAATGGCATAATCTGTCACCCTTTATAAGTAGAATGTTAGAATTATTGAGCTTATAGTAGACATGCAGACATTCCTTATTCCATGCTTGCATTCCATAAAATTGAGACTAAACTGGTATTTTGGGAGTTTTTTCATGTTGAATGTATACAGAAATTCTGTATTTATGAATTCCTGCAATAGCTCATAATATAAAGTGAAGAATCTTTTAGTTAACTGGCACTACACCTGCTTCTCATTATCTAGTGTGTTTAAAAGCTTGGATCTTCACTCATTAGATTTTCCTAAAGGTAAACATATCTGTACTTGTTAACGTATATGTAAGTTGAGCATCCCTAATCTAAAAGTCTGAAATCGGAAATGCTCCAAAATTCTCATATTACTGAGCACCAATATGATACTCAAAGGAAATGTTCATTGGAGCATTTTGGATTTCAAATTTTGGGATTAGATATGCTCATCCAGTATGTATAGTGCAAATCTCCAAAAAAAAAAAAAAAAAATCCAAAATTTGAAATACTTCTGGTTTCAAGTATTTTGGATAAGGGATATTCAACTTGTATAAGTTAATATTGAATACCTTTAGATATGTTTGTGAAAAACATTTTATCCATATAGTTTTTTCTAAAATTTAATGTTGGTGGTCTCTAATAAAACAATTTCTTTCACATAGTATGAGGGCACACTCCTGCTGTCACTAATGGAGCAGCCACTTTGACTCATCTTTGGCTGACAGTACAGTAATAGAGCTAGAGCTGGATAAACATATATGACTGTGTGGAAGATAACTTTAGGAAACTACTACTTCTTTTCTTCTAGTTGCAATGATGATAATAAATACTACTAAGACCCTTTCTTGCCTTTGAATAGTAATTATTACAAAAATATAATATAATTTTTGTAAGGTATACTAAAGTGAAATAAACAGATTGGAAATGTTTTAGGTCGCTTACAGTGTAGAAGTGACTCTTGTGACAAAATTTTGTAGCAACTCGCAAGTGAAAAAGATTACCTAAAAACCATTTTATGTCTCTCTTATCATAGATGTGATTGGGTATGAAATATTTTCATTATGTATGATGTCTCTATGAAATATCTTTATGCTAACCCTCTTGAGTTTATGATCATTGCACAATGATAGAAAACGTCCTATCATCTCATGATATGGATTTGCCAATTTATGACTTTAGTTTGCATTTCTAGTGTGATAAATACCTTTCATAAGTTTACTTTAAAATTTTGATAATTGTCTGGAAGTGTTGTTCAGTGCATATTACTACTTGATTTTACTGGATTATATCATAAAGACTTGGTGATGCTAATGTGTTGCTTTATAATTGCTCAGAATATTTTCTAAGCATTTCTTTCAGTAATTTCTTTCTCTGTGAAAGACATTAGTGTCTTTTCCTTTACGACACCTACTTCTATGTAGATGAATACATTTTCTATTGTAGCCATGATGTTCTTCACCAGCACACAAAATAACTGATTATCGTAGATAGTGACAAATTTTCTGCCTGCTTTAAAATGGAAGCACATAAAAAGTAAAGTTTGTATTTGTATTTGTATGTATCTATAGCTGTGACATTTCTAATAGTGATTTTTAACTACTCTACATTGACAGACTCTTCAATTAAAAATGCATGCAGTGATTATTATAAATATTAGTAATTATATTTGAACTGTTCTCCTAGATAATATGTTCCATTTACTGAAAACACAAATGTGATTCTTTCCATGGCCTCCAGTTAGCTTGTACATTTTCCACTTTGAAGTTTTTCTATCATTTTTATCTAGGTTTAAACTGAGAGCAACCAAGAGCCTTTCACTGTTTCCTGCATAGTGATTTGTGAAATTCTAGTATCTAAAAATAAACCTAAAGTAAATTATTTATATATTTAGCACCTAAAATATATAATTTATTTTAGCTACTTTGACCAAAGGACATTAGAAGAAAAACTTTTGGCTTATACATTTCAAGACAAACATAACTTTTCTAAGATGTATAAATGTATTTTGATTTTTAGGTTTGTGATCATACTGTGACCTTGTGAACAATTTGTGTGCCGGGACTATGAAGCATAACTGAATAATTCAGATTCACAAGCTATTTATGATAGAGTGCTTCTTTCTGAGAATGGAAAATTTGAGCTATACTAAATATGAGTTCTTTTTAGTTCTAAGTCATTTGGAAAAGAGCAAATTCAATCACTTATTTCATTGATACCTTATTAGATAAAATATTAGCCCCCAGAGTGTTTTGTGAAGGAAATATGCCTAATAGGAGATGATAGTTTTAGAAATAAATGAGCATTAGAACTATTATTTATTAATGAAATGAACTGTTGGTTTGAAAGTGATGATATATAGAATATTAAAATTCCATAGAATTCCTTTTGAAGTTTATGAAGTACAAAAATTTTTTCACTTTTTAAAAACTAGTGAAAAGTAAAGGAGAAAAAGTAAAGGTTATGTTTTTTGAAAAGTGTGGAAAATGAATATTAAAATTTATGAAGTGCAAAAAATTTTCCATTTTTTAAAAACCAATGAAAAGTAAAGGAGAAGAAGTAAAGTTTATGTTTTTATATCATGCAAAGCTTTTTATTTATGCCTTCAAGACACATTTTTGAGCACCTGCGGTTTGTCCACTTTGATTTAGGCTTGTGGATCCTGATGGGTGGGATGGCTCAGGAGAAACAAAAGTTACATTTAACCAGGCAGAGATTTTAGATTCTGTAATATATGTGGGAAATGGACATTTTAAGCAATTTAGTATCTAATCATACCTGTTTTGATTTTTTTCCCCTATATAATACTTCTTTGGTAAAAAACAAAACAATAGATTCTTGGAGTTGCAAGAAGGATGAAAGAATGGGACCTTTTCTTTTAAGAGCACTTGACAGCCGGGTGTGGTGGCTCATGCCTATAATCCCAGCACTTTGGGAGGCCGAGGCGGGTGGATCACCTGAGGTCAGGAGTTTGAGACCAGCCTGACCAACATGGTGAAACCCTGTCTCTACTAAAAATACAAAAATCAGCTGAGTGTGGTGGCACATGCCTGCAATCCTAGCTACTCGGGAGGCAGAGGCAGGAGAATCACTTGAACCTGGGAGGCGGAGGTTGCAGTGAGCTGAGATTGCACCATTGCACTCCAGCCTGGGCAACAAGAGAGAAACTCTGCCCCCCCAAAAAAAGAGGTTGGGGGAAGAGGAAGGGAGGGAGAGAGGGAGGGAGGGAGGCAGGCAAGAAGGAAGGAAGGAAGGACGGAGGGA